TCAGCAGGGAAATAGTGAACAGCAACAAGCCTGATGCCCAACCACCTCCTTCTCTTAGAAATGGGGCTTTCAAACTCCTCCAGGAGCTTTGCTGATCCTACCTGGTATCTACAGTTAGTGTATAAAAAAGCAACACAGTTTTGAGAAATTAGAACAGTGGTTGAAACTCCTTAAGCATGAAACTTCTATAAAATTAAACCAACATAGCATCGAGTTGATGCTATTTTTCAGAGTTGTAACCATGTTATCTTTTGCTCTAGAGCATCAGTTCTTTTCAAACTTCTAATTAAACCATGGAATAACTTTATAATCTAAATCCATTTGTATATGAATTATAGAATAGTATAAGAGAAAAAAAAAGATATATTAAGTAACTTGTCTGGTGACACTGAGATAATGGCAAACTCTGAAAGATGGTTGTGAATTCCGATTCCTCACTCCTTTGCACACTCAAGGGCTATGCACTATCCAACAAGAAATTCATCTTTTATAGTTCCAATTTGTTTGAATGACTTCTCATCTACCTATTTTAATCTAGATTTCCAATTAGAAGTTCATTTTTTTAATTGCATTCCTGTCCATATAGACTGGATTTTCTATTAGGAAACAAGGCTACAAGTTAATGTTGTGCTGCAGATCAAGGTAAGATAAAGGATAAACAATATTTTTCTTCATCTATTTGAACAATAATTTAATAAGAACACTTAATTTCTGAAATAGAATGAACAATATACACTGTGACAGAGCAAATCTGTTCTCATATATCAAAGAAATGTGCTGTCACAAAAATGGAGACAAAATGAAGACAAAGAGTTGATGGGGGGGTAAAACTTAATTTTTCCCTTTATAGTGACCTCCACGTTGAACAGTTTTCCACTGCATTAGCAGGTGCTCTGTCATACAAAATAACAGACATAAGAGTCGGGAAACAGATTTCCCATCTTCGGGCTAGGTGTAGCCAACAATCCTAGTTACAAGAGGGGCATTCTGCATGTCCTTTACACCAGGCAAACCACAGGGAACACTAAGCGAACACTGGTTTTTTGGAAAGGATACCACATCCACTGAGAGGAACACCCTGAGATGTAAAACCAACCAAATCCAAGACCAATTAAACCCAAGTCGGACATTTTCACAGCCTGGCACCAGCAGGCACAACCTACACTCCAAATTTCCCAAGGAAACATAAGTGATACAAGCAGAGTAAAAACCTTTTCTGACACTTCCACAATTTTCCCCAGAGACGTCAAGGACTTAATGGGGCAGACTGAGACGAGCTCAGACTCTGTGCAACCAGTTCATGCAAGGGAGTGTCTGGTACTGCTCAACATTTTTCTACCAAGCCATTTTTCTACACAAGTAATTTTTTATTTTATTCCATTTTCTACTGTCCTCTTTCTCCTAAATTCCAGACCCTTCCCAATATAAGTCTCAACCCAGCTTAAAGGCTGGAAATAAAAGTTTTAGTTCCAAGGTCATGTCCAAGAAGGCCGTGAGGTCTCTGTGAAAATTAACAGATCCAAAATCTTAAATAACTCGGCGATGCAAAGACATAAAGCCAATGCAAAGTTACAAACCAACAGAAAGGTGTAAGACTGAAGCATGGAGGGTGATTTTACCCAAGAACATGGGAGGGGACTTTCAGAACTGTGACATATGTCACAGAAGCTAAATATTCCTACACCTTTCCAAGAGCTAAATATAAATATATGGGAAAGGAAACACACCTATTGGTCTAATTTGCAGTTCTGCAGAGATGAAACATTTTTTCTAGCTGTTCTCATTCCTGAATGATCCAGGATCGCAGGCCTGATCCTGACGGTTGACCTCTGTGGTATCCTGACCCATATCTATCCCAAATGAAGACCCACTTTTCCTCACCCGGGTGTCGTAACACCTTCCAGACAATGACAGACACTTCCAAGCTTGCTTCAAATGACGGTGCTGTGCACCTTAGGGACACGTGAGAACACAGGCAAGGGGCAACCCTTCACTGCATGTTCCCGCAGTGAGGAGCTCTTCTTTGCACCAGCGACACCTCTCTCTGCACACCCTAAGCCACTGACCCACACCAAAACCCACCAAAAGGTATCTCAGAGAAAAGGTACTTCAAGGTCTTGAGATTACACACTTCTCTTGTAGGTTCCTCACCTACATCACATGCAGCTCAACAGCATAGGGTTGGGTAGCACATCTGCAAGCTGTAGGTGTAGCCTCTCTTGCCCCATTGGTGTTCCCACCATCACTGAGATTTTGGGTGGAGAAACCACCCTGGCTATGGAGTTCACTGCAGGGACTCACAGCTGCTGCCCTAACAGATACATGATATTGGCATCATGTTCCAGGTAAAGCTTCTTTCTTCTCCTCTTCAATCCAGGCTTCTTTTCTCCCACCATTAAAGGGCATTTGATGGTTATAGAGAACTCACTGTAGCAGAAGGAG